ACTTTCCTGATTCGGTGGAGCACAGATCTTGATAATGCCACATTTCTTCGTCCACATACACGCTAATATTACGAATTTTCACGTCTAACTGCACTTATATATATTTTTAAGTTTTTTAATGCTGCCCAGTGGACACTAAGAGGGCCTCTTTTAGCAAGCCCATTATGAATTCGGCTAGGCCCACAACGGCCAAACGGCCGCCCATATGGAGCGGCCGGGTGGTTAGAGACAGGAACCGACATATCCGAAAGGATCATCCCCGACATATTCACGGATGTTTTCGACTCGTCCGGATTCGATCCCGGATACTCCAGAGAGGAAGGCTAACACATTTATCGTTCGTCCATCCGGCCGTCCATTTTTAAGTTATAAAGTCTACACTTTTTCTTAGGAAAACATTATTCCATATACAATTCAAAACACTAATCATTACTGGAACAAAAACAATACCATGAATCGCAGATATTAGAGAAGCTAATGTTATGATTTTCATACAAACGAAAAATTCTAGTGAAGGACGAGTTACAAAAACTATAACCACTAAAATCATTGTAATACTACTTTGGAAAATTGGCATTCCTGTTAAACCGACTGCAGTGATCAGGCGTTTCTTCGGATCCGTTTCCTTCGATGAACTGTAGGCACAAACCACGTGCGCTGCATAATCAACAGAAAATCCACAAACCATGACTAGGATGGAAATAGACATTATTCCAAAACTGACATCCCAAAGAGACATGTAACCGACGACGCCAAACATTACTGATAATATTGTCAACAATACGCAAAGAATAGAAACAACGTCTGATAAGAAAATGGCGGATATTACGAATACCACAACGCTAATCAACGTCAGAGTTTGAACGACTGTTACGGGTATCACATCCAATATATCGAAATAATAAAATAACGGATGGTATAAAATTGTTCTATATTCAGATTTTTCTAATGTTTCTCTCAAATTCTTTACTCGATTGTAAAATTGATTTCCATTTCTGGTTATGTTCGTTTGGAAAAGAAAACGACTGGCAACGATTTTCGTATAATTTTGGTCGAATACAACATCCTTCCTGAATCTCCTGGTTGCGGGATGACGAAAGAAAAACGTTCGAAGAATTAATAAAAAGTCTTTCGAATCGGTTAAATTAAAACTTTGTAACATGGGTACAACATTTTTGTGATTAATAAATTGAAGATAACTTCTCAACCAAGACTCTGTAAAGAGGGACCCAGAAATCAGCGGATCATTTTCGATCGACCGCGTTATATTTTCAATTTTAGTTTGGATTTCGGGATCTGCATAATCCAGTTCTTGCATAATAAATATTTGCAGTCGGTACTGATACTGATGGAAATTGTCTTGGTATGCTTTAAAATAGGAATATTGATATGAATTATATAGTAATCCCATATTAAATGTAGCTCTGAAACTTAATTGAGTGAAACCCCAGGCAGCTATACTAAGATAAACCAAATAAGAGAAAATAATAACGGATATGATTTTATAATTTGTCATTGATTGTAATAATAATTTCCAATATTCGTTGCATGATATTAAACAGGCGGACAGATTAGAGGAGTCTTTCTTTTCCACACAGCATAAATATTTTCGTGTACATGTTTTCTTTTCTGAAAATATAATTTTAAATCTAATTAACCAATAAATTTTATCTACAAACAAATGATACAAAATTAATATATTATTGTCGCTACAGCCTAAACGTCTACTTCTCGACATGTGATTTTGTTACATATTGTTAGTAATATCATTTAATAAATAAATAAATAAAATCATTTAAATTACCTGAATCGGAATTTAAATCCAATGGAGTGAAAATAAAAGAATTTAAATTTTTTTCTTCAGCTCTTCCCCACAAAGCCATCACAGCCACAATAAACGTGATTTGGTATACGTAATCAAATACCAAGCACGTTGCCATATAAATACAAAACACACCGTGAACTGGTAAACTCGTGATTAATGCACCAACAATGAATGATACAATATTGGTAATTGATGTTATCGTGATGGATACACCGCATTCTGACAGTGCTTCTCCTATTCTCTACTCTACTGATTTGCTCGTATCGGTCTTTTTCCATGCTGATAACAAGATAAATGTGTCATCGATTCCGATTCCTGTAATATTAAAAATAATACGTATTTTAATTATTTAGAATCAATTTCTACAGCAGAGAATATTCTTTAATATAATGTACTTGCCCAAAATTAAAAAGGGTACAATTATCATAATTGTAGACATGGCAGTTCCAATATATATTAAAGCGCCGAATCCAGAAACGACGCTCATTACTGTTGCTATTATTGACAATATTCCCGTCCACGGTTTGCTTTCACGTAAGTCTGGAAACGAGCAAGTGACTATTGTAAAAATACAAATTAAAATTGAAGCTGGAGAAATATGTTTGAAGCCAACGAAAATATTTTCTTTTTTCAATTGTTCTTTGGAGATCGATGCATCTCGTTCAACTTTGATACTTTTGAATTTTGCTTCTCCGATTATTTTAATAAACTTTTCTTCCCATGTTTTAGTAATTAATGCGTGGCGTTTATTTTTCTTGGAGAGGAAATAGATCAATCTGAGTGCTTTTGCAGAGACAATATTCAAGTTCTCGTCAACGTTAACGCCTCCCAAGGATAAGGCATTTTCGATGGTTTTATTTTGCTCGGAAGGATATTTTGGATAAAGTGTACCGTTTTCAATGAGTTTGATTCGATCGCCTATTGATATTATTTTATTTTCTAAACACTTTCCTGATTCGGTGGAGCACAGATCTTGATAATGCCACATTTCTTCGTCCACATACACGCTAATATTATGAATTTTCACGTCTAACTGCACTATTTCGTTAAAAATGTTTTGTCTGAATATGGATCTTCCGTCTGCCGCTAGAACTATAACAGACACGTAATTTCCAACTTGTAATAATCTGCTTGGATCAAAATCAGAATAATTCATAGGAAATATGTTTTCTAATTGTAATTTATAGCGATTAATAACGCTACCTCGAGGTATATATAAGTCATCAGTAAAGTCAAAGTTTAATCTTTGAATTCCAGTTGCTAAGAAGACAGTAATTATTAACGGAATAGTTATAAACCAAGTGACTTCTGTGCTTATTGTCTTCCCTAATTCTTCGAATTTCTTTGATAGAATTTGACACACATTCCATCGTTTCATGTTGCGTCTATATTAAAACAATATTAATATAATTTACGTTAAATGTAATGTTTTGTAGCAACAAATTGCCAAAACTTATTCTATTTTATTTAATTCTAATAAATTATCATACACATTGTAAACGAGAACATTGAACAAAATTTGCTTGGTCCACGTTTTACAAGAAATAAATTCTTTTATGTCAGAGGTTCAGCTTTGAATCTGATCAATCTTTAGTTTATCTCTTCTGATAATTCGTATCACAATATACGAATTATCAAGGGAGAAAGGTTTGATTACATTTTTAATGTATTGTTTATTTAAGAACCTTTTGTAAATTTTTTTAAGTTTATCTTTTTCTATTTCTTACTGGTGTTGACTAGTAACTCATTAGCTCATATTGTACAGTACATGCTTTACCATATATGTAATTATGTGCCGGTGATTATGAAAGTGATCGAAGTCAAATATAGGAAAATATTTAATTTATTTCACAAAGTACTCGTAAAATTTTACAGTTATAATATATAAATAGTTTACAATAGCAAATATATTTATTTCCTTTTTTATAATCATAAAATGTATTTTTTTTAATTTTCACAAAGTTAAAGATCATATTTCTATGCGTAAGTTATATGATTTAGCCCATTGTGTTAACCCGAAATGAATAATCTTAAGCTAGTCTCAATCCGTGTGGATGGCGCTATGCGAAATAAATTCGGCGTGATTTGCATAAATAGTATTTCTTAAATATTCTCAAATGAATGTTTTTGAATAGCCTGAAATTATTTTAAGAGATAAAAACATAATTATTAATATATATTAAATAAATGGTATAATACTCTTTAGCAAAACTTTGCGACTTTATGAATTTGAAATTTATAATTGGCACTGTAAATGTAAATTTAAAATAAAAATAGTTTAGAATGTTAAAGTTTAGAATATAAAATTTTCCTCTTCTATAGGCTTTTAACAGCCTATAACAGAGGAAAAGTATGGCGATCAGTCAAAAACTGACCTCCCCCCAAGATTTTTATATATTTTGACTCAATATACCTTGAAACGTCGAGAAATGCAAAAACTTCGAGGATTATTCCTGTATATGTGTGATGGGCACGATTTTGTTTACCCTCTTTGAAGCTTAATTAATAACTCCTGTGCTTTTTTGTTGGTAATTTCTGAAATTTTGCAAGGAGGTTTGTTTATTGGTGGACGATGCTAGTAAATTTTGGTGGTTAAAGGGTGGGGCGATAAAGGAGGTCTTGTGTATCTCGAAATGTTAATAAAAGCGTATATTTTTTGGATATGATCCCTGACTTCGTTTTCATCACTTGATTTACAAGGTGTAATAAATCTGGAAAAAATAGCCAAATTTAGGACACTTTAAGATATATTAATCACAGACAAGACGTCATATAAGTATATAAGTTATCGAGTTGCTATTTACGATATTATAAATTAAGAATTTACTCCTATTTTCATAACTGAAATAAGTGAATAAAATTTTATAATTGAAGTATAATAATTAATATTTAAAATAGATCTTATTACTTTTAAAAAATAATAAATGTTTATATTCACATTACTTTTTACAAATCGGTATAATGTTGTTACAAGACTAATTTTATTGTCATTTTTATTATTATCATGACGTGAAAGATTTTATCATGATAAATAACACATGTTACGAGACATGATTGTCAGTCAAGTCACCTTTATTCAGTTTTTAAACAAGGAAAAACAGGTTTCTATAAAATTAATAAATATAAATTATTTAAATTCATTTAATATTCGTTACTTGTTAATAATATTATGAAGTTTATTTATATTTTATTAAATATTTATATCTATTAAATTCAAAATAAATTAATCTCATTAAATGCAAATATTTTCCGACGACGATTTAGATTTATAAATTGCTTAATAATAGAAAAAAAAATTATAATTTTATTAACAAAATACATTCACATTTTAACAATTTAAACAAATATTTAAACTTTTGGATATTCCGAAGTAATTTTTAGCAAAAGAAAGGAAAAAAAACTTTAATTAATATAAAAAATAGACCTGAAGCTATTTTGTAAACATTATCAATACTGAATCTTGCTGAATACCGAATTTATCCTTGTACACTTTTCAATGATATTAGTCTTCAATTCACGTTTGTTAAACTTTATGAAAATTGAATGGGGTTAGAGTCAGCTATCCTGTCATCCAGTTATTTGTATTCTTATCTCATTTCGAAAACAAATTTCTAACAAAAATTTATTCTGATTTAACAGATAAAATCCACCATGCAATTTCTATTTATATTTTTTCAATTTTCAGTAACTATTATTACGCTTTTTTTATTATTATTAATGTAGAGATAATGTGTTTCCTCATATATTGAAATAAATATACAATACGTTTTATGAGTATTTTAGTGTTTTGTACTAAAAAATAAAACAAAAATTTAATTCATAAATATGTATCCCAACATACTATACCAGGGATGGCGAACCTTTTTCATTGTCCGTGCCACAAATTTATAAATAATCTTTATGAAATTATTAACGTGTCAAACTGAAATTGTCTAGCATAAATTATGATTCTTATATTTTTCTCTTTTTTACTTTTTTGTTTTTTATGTTTTTTTCTTTTCGTTTCACTCTCAAAAATTATTATAATTCAATAAAGAAAAAAAATTTTTGTTAAACAATTTTATTTGTTGTTGAAAGCTTACATTTTCCGCCATTCCCAAAATTTTCTCTTTCACCATATTCCTAGCTAATGGTATATCTTTAATTCTTTGGATAATTTTTTTCTTTATTTCCGAAATCTTGCACATTGCAACCAGTAGGGCACATTGCAATAAGTAGGGTGCACATTGCAACCAAGCTTCCTTTAAAAAATGACCTTCAGTAAAAGTTTTCCCGTATTGAGAAATAGCTTTTGAAGCTTGATAACTAGCAACAGTAGTGATTGAGTTCCAATATATTTCATTAAGGACGTAGCTTGGGCATTTTTATTTTTGAAAACACTCCTTTTGTTCTTCTTCACTTCGATTGAGAAGAGATTTGTGGTTGGTTTCATAATGTCGCTTTACTGATGATGTTCTACAAACCACCGCTTCTGAACATAGAAAGCAAATAGCTGTACTGTCCTTATTAATCATACCGTACCATACCGTGCCTATCGGTCCATCAAGTTTGAAATTCTCTGCTACTACCTGTTTCTGATAATTTTAATTTTTTCATTGAACTAGCCATAATAAGAAATTCTAAAAAAAATAATTTTAAAAATTATATTTAAATTTAAAATATATGTATAAATGCAATAATTACTTTAAAATAAAACTGTAGTGTTTGTAAATAGTTATATTTAACATGTCAATGATTAAAGTTTTAAAATGACACATAGAAACGCTTGGAATTACAAAGAATAATGGTTCATTGGCAATGCAGTCTGTTTTCATAACAGAGAAAATTAATAGACATGATCACAGGAGAGCACCGATCATACCACAAAATGATATTTTATAGTTGGTAGATATTCAGTACTATAAATTCAAATTGTAAATTATTTTTAAAGTATGAATTGCTGAGTTTTAATTCATTTTTATATTTTATAAAATAAAATTTCGTTATGATTAATTAAAAAAAATCATATTTTTTGTGCGTGCCATCAAAATTTTCTTTCGTGCCATAGGTTCGCCATCCCTGTACTATACTATTTATAAAAGAAATTGCTACATTTGAAAATAATAAACTAAATATTATCTAACGTTAAAGGGGACTCAGATTTGAGAATTCCATCTTTCTTATTTGTTATATTAAAGATAAAACTAAAACTGTAGAAGTTCGTTAATCTGACACTAAATAATCCAGAGTGTCCGGTAATCCGGCACTCTAATAGGTTGCTGATAATCCGGAATTATCCGATAATAATCCGGCATGCTAGTAATGCACAAATAGAGATTTGTTTGGACACGTGGCGCGCTAAAGACTTCAGGAGGAAATCGTGGAGAAGGTAAGGATGTGGCTATATACATCAACATTATGCCATAACTAAATATTATTTTCTTTTCTACAGGCAAATAAGAGAACAGAGCACTTAAAAATAAATTTCTCATACTCAGAGCATCTGTACCTTTTGTAAACTGTAGGTATAGGGTACATGTCTGGGGAAAAATATTATAGTATATGCACATGAATCATCGTGAATGTTAGTTTTATACAATCATGCGTTCATTGATGTTTTCATAGGGTTTTCAAACAAGCATAGTATGCACTGTATCATCTTCAGACTGATTAAAAAATATGAGTAAACAATTTAAAAACATATAACAGTGTGCATTGGTACAAAATGTATAGCGAAGTCCGCAACATTCAAATTGCATATAACCTATGGAATTTTTCGAAAATAGAAAAACGTCTGGTAAATTGAGGTTTTCAATAATCCAGCACCACTCTGGTTCCACAAGTGCCGGATTAACATAATTCTAGTGTATATTAAAAACATTAAACTTATAATTATAAATAAACTAATTGCATTATTTTAAGTAATTTCTAATTAATAAATAGATTATAATATATAATTATAGCTTTAAAATTAAATTTGCAATGTTAATGTGAGACCTGAGTGATACTGGAGCTCACGTGTTAAAAATATCATAAAAGTGTCAAATCAAGGGATTGGGATTTGATTCTAAGCTCGTAAAAATTGGAAGAAAAACCTAAATAAAATCGGGAAATAATAAAATCATTAATCGAGAGAAAAAAAACAAGTTTTTAATAACTTTAAAAGAAAATGCAGTACTGAGATTATGTGTCAGACTTATAAGAATTCTAAACAATTAAATACGAGCAGGAGTTTCAAGGTGCGATTAATTTCCCTTGATCAGATTAAAACACAGTGTTGAATTAAATCTTTGGTAGCCCGAAATGGTCTGTTATCTGCCTAGATACAGAAAACTGACCAATCAAAAGCCAGAGATCCGGAAAAGAAAATCTTTTAAAAACCTGGACCTCAAGGACAAA